CCTGCTCTTTCCCGGGATTCTACGGAGGTGGAGAGTGGGGGAGGGGGACTGCCCCGGGACCATAGCACGAGTCCCGGCACCCAGACGGCCTCCGAGCACTTCTTCACTCCTTTGAGCTGCAGAGAATCTGGGGTCCAGCCCCGGCATCCAGACGGATCCAGGACGGTGCCAGCAAAAGTCTACCTGCGCGGTTCCCGTGGTCAGCCCCGGTGGCACTCTGACTGCCAACAGCTAGGCGCTGGGCCCGGACGCGATGGGGTCCACGCGGGAAGCGCGGCCGGGGGCGGGGTCAAGGAGACGCCCGGGGCTGAGGGACCCCAAGCCCCTGAGCCACAGGGAAGGGAAGGGGCCAGAGGCAAGCAGCCGCGCTGGGGGCGGGCGAGTAAAACAGGGGAGGAATCCGGTGAGTGGCGGGAACGAGGCGAACCCTACCCATCTCCAAACTTGGACTCCGCGCTCACGCGGCCTCCCAGTCCCCATGGGACCCCCGAGCCAGTAGGGCCCAGGTGCAGGGCACGGCCGGACTCTGGGGCAAGGTGTGGGGCAGGACGCCTCTCCCCCGTGTTCTGGACTCGGAGCTGACCTCGGAGTTGCGTCCCAGGAACCCTGTCCTCTCTGGATTCGTTCCGGCCCTGAGGTCTTGGTGGCTAGCTCCGCACTTGCATGCGCACTGGGGCCTTTGGAGGGTCCAAAGATGGAGACTGATGGGGGTGCTCCAGGCAGGGGGATAAGTTGTGGTGTCTGGAGAGGGACTCCGAGGCCGGGGAGGGGAGGGAGGGCTGGGGAGAGGGTGGTTGGGGAATTGGGACGGGCAGCTGAGCCCCAGCTCCCAGCACCCCGTCCTCCACTCCCTCACGACCTCCAGAGGCTGGCACCCCCTCCCTCCCACAAGCAGCTGGAGCCTGAGTCACCAGCTGCCTCTCAGGGAGACAAAGGAGCCGAGGGCCCTCCCCTCCAGTCCCTCTTCCAGTGCTGGCATCCATCTGCGCTCGCAGGGAGTCCAAAGTTTTCTGCCTACAGTCTCTGCCTCCGTCATGGGGGTAATGGAAGCACAAAGGGCTGGGAGTGAGGGCTTTGGGACTGTGGGCGGCACCCCGGCAGCGATCACCAGCTTCTCAGCCCAGCGGTGGCCGGGGGCGGGGTGGGGGGTGCCCATGAGGCTGCCTGCGTCCAAGTGCTCCTCAGGCAGGGACTGGCTGGCTTCTCCCTGCAGCCCTGTGACGGAGGTGCTGCCAGTCCATCTTGCAGATGAGAAAACTGAGGCCCAGGAAGGTTGAATGGCCCTATTACAGCAGATATTGCAGTCCACCGTTAGCCTGGCTCCGACATGCAGGAGCAGTAGGAGCTCCCAGTGTGAAGGGCCGGAAAGGCTTCCAGGAAGAGAGACCCACCAGCCTGTGGGGAGGCTGGGGGCTCTCGGAGGAGTCAGGGTGCATCCGGCATTGGTCAGGCAGTTAGTCGGGGGTTGGGCGTGCTGACAGGGTGCAGGGACAAATGCCACTCTGGGCCAGGGCCCTCCAGCTTCTCTCTCTGTTTGCACTGAACTAGCCAGAGGGCAGGTTTGGGGCTCACAGTGCAGGCTCCAGGCCAGGCCCTGGCCCTTCCTGGTCCTGTGCCAGACGCAGGGTCGCTTCCCCTCTCTGGGGCTTGGGTTTCTCTCTAGGAAATCCCAGGTCCCCTGGCCCAGGGCTGGGCACACTGGTCAACCCCCTCTAAAACGGGGAAATGGAGGCATAGCACAGGCTTTCTCGAATGTCCACAATCTCTCAGGACCACAAGCTTTGCACAGTCAGAGCTGGGTGCTGAGTGAGACCTCAGCAGTGAGGAAAGAACATGTTTTCACAGGTGCATCCACGCTGCCACCCATGTGTACACAGTGCCCATGGGGCAGGGACAGCACTGTAGCCACACTAGCCCCAGGCATGCACACTCTCACTCAAACTCATGAGCCCACAGACACCCGCACACTCAAGCCGCCAGCCCTCGCAGCTGGGGGGTGGGGCATGTGCCCTTCAGTCTCAGAGACACAGCTCCTCTGCCCGCCCCGTGGGGCTCACTGCAGATGCCAGGGGTTATTTTAAGCCTGGATCAATGGACAATTTTTGGTGACACAGGCTTGGGGGCTGGCGAGCAGAGGAGACAGGAGGCAAGTGCTCTGGTGCCATGCTAACAGAGGGAGACCCCCGGTCCAAGGGGGGCAGCCTGGGCAAAGGGGTCACTCTGAAGCTGGGCTGCTCTGTGTGTGGATCCCCTTGTCCCACGCGTGGCTGGGTACCTGGGGGCAGTGTCAGCTGAATGGATGGCCAACTTCCAGGGCCCAACCAGCCAGCTGTGGTCTACCTTTGCCTTTGCCTCCTCCTGCTCCCCTTCCACCCCAGGCTGTGCGTACATACGGAGAGGGCACTGAACGCTTGGCATGGACCTGGTAGATGTGGCATCTCTGGTTGTTGGCTGACCTCTGAACCAGACTGAGATGGGGAGGAAGCGTGGGTGTGGGAGAAGTTGGAAGTTGGACCTCTGTCCTTGTGGGTAGGAGGGGACTGGAATCTGCTCCTTTGTTGGACAAATGGATATTATGTGTGTGTGTATGTGTGTAAATATATATGTGTGTAAATATATATATAATCTGATGGGGGTTAACATGGGGTGGAAGCTGAGCAGAGCACCCACTGATGCCAGGATCATGGGTGAAAGGAGAGGGTTCTGGGCTCTGGGTCCAGTGGAGTCACCCTACCTGGGAAGAGGTCGCAGGCCGGAGGCAGAGACAAGCCTTCCTAGACCTGGTGCCAGCGGCAGGGCGGAAAAGTGTGCCGCATCGGCCACCCTCAGAGCCCGGGTAACCTAGAGGGCAGCTTGGCAGAGTGCAGGGGGGCGGGGGGGGCACTGATTCAAGCCGGACTGTGCTATGGGTTCTGTTCCTTAAGGGAGCAGAAGATGCACCAGCAAACGCAGCCACAGAGTTCTAAGCAGGATAACAAACCGAAAGTTTGGCGTCAGAAAGTAAACTAAGCAAAGGGAGACAAATATATGGTGATGGAAGGTAATTACAAAAAAAAAACAAAACCATTTACAAAATGGTATATAAAGTGTGACATTTTAGCATCAGTTGTCCCTGGTGATGGGATTAAGGCGATTTCATTTCATTTCTTTGCTTATTTATTGTCTTTTTCTCAAAATTTGTAATAGTGTTTTAATAGGGTAGGGTCTTCGCGGCTGGATCCGAAGCCTGTTTGTGGGTGGAGGAAGGGGAGGGGCTGTCCTTAGCCAGAGCACAAGGGGTCATCCGGAGGGGGGCGGTGTTGCAGGGAGGTCACCCCGCCAGCCCCCCACCGGTTCCCTGTCTTAGCCCACTAAGACCTGAAATTAGCCTGTCAGCCCCTCATCTCAGCAATAGGACTTGATCCTCCTTAAAATGTAAATCCTTCTCCCTCTTCTCACACCTCCTCCATTTTTATAAGCTGATCCTAGTCGCTGAGTGAAGACAGGATGCGAAGGGGAGCAGACCCTGTCGGCCACAATTCTTCATTTTACAGGCACGAGAGACTAGAGTCACTCCATTCATTCATTCAGTAGGTATGGCGGAGGCCTGCGCTCTGTGGAGACACTGGGCCGAATGAACCCTCTTGCCGCTCCCATCTGGACGAGGGGAGACACCACATTGACTTCTGCCTCTTGGTGGAGGCGCGTGGTGAATCTGCCCCCCGGGAAGGGTTTTTAATGTTAAGATGAGTAACTGAGGCAGAGAGAAGCAAGGCGCTGCTGCTCGCTGACCTTCTCCAGTTAAACTCAATTTAGATAAACAAGACCGCGCGCGCTCTCGGCCAGTCCACGCCCCGTGCCCGCCCCCTCGCCCAGGGCTTGTGAATGGACCCCAGGGTCCTGCGGGGGGCCCGGCGGAGGGTCCGCCAATAGCCCCGCCCCCTTCTTCGAGGGCCTGGGCCAGCCCAGTCTCCTCCCTGCTGACACACACGGTCGGGAAGCGGACCCGGGAGGGCTCTGGCCAGGCCATGCCGGTCCGCGCCATAGATGTGGGGACAGCCCAGGACCCCAGCCCAGTGTCCAGGGGGTTCTGGGACAAGGGCACGAGCCCCTGGGTTGACGCTGCGCCCCGGGCAGCGCTGAGAGGACCCATAATTTGGCCCCGTGCAGCGGCTCTGCTGGGGTTTCCTTCCCAGTTGACAGGCGGGAAAATCGAGATGCAGAGAGGGGAAGGGACTTCCTCCTGTCACACCTCTCTGTTTCGACCGGAACTGACCGGGGAACACGAGGGAGGCGGAGCGGTGTGGGGTGGCAACGACATTCCTGGGGCTGCTCTGTCCCGTCAATATCCTCACCTGTAAGACACAGGCGCGCCGCGGCGGGCCCGGAGCTCGAAGCAACAGTCCGGAGGGCGGTAGCCGAACGCTGGGAGCGCCCAGTTACGAGGAATGATTTGGGGGGGCCTTCGGGGCAGGTCCCGTGGCGCGTCCCGGCAGTGTGGACCCCGCTGCGTCCCCTCCCGCCCCTGGAGGCGGCCGCGCTCCTCCTCCGGCTCCGCTCGCTCCTTCCCGCCCCCCTTCCCGCGCTCCGTCCCTCCCTCCCCCGCCCGCCCGCCCTAGCCCGCGCGGAGCCGGAGCCGGAGCCGCAGCCAGAGCGCGGGCAGCGCGGAGCGGGCGGCGGGAAAGCCACCCCGCTAGGCCCGGGACCCGACCCCCCCGGGCCGGGGACAGGCACGGGGCCGCGCGCAGGTGAGGACCCGCCGCCCGGACCCGGGGACGTCCCAGGGCGCGGTCCGGCCGGCTTGAGTCCGAGGTGAGCCCGGGCGGAGGACGCGCCCACCGGCCCCGAGAGCTCGGGCCGAGCCCACCCGGGTCTGGGATCCTCGGAGGAGGCCGACGGCCGAGAAGGCATCCGCCGGGAGCCAGCGCCCCGGCAGCGGGCCCCGCGCGGTCCCTGCGGGCACGGAGGGAGCCGCGGCGCGCCGCCATGCGCGGGGCGCTGTAGCCGAAGGTGCGGGCCCGATGGAGCGGGCCGAGGTGCGGGAGCTGCGCAGCGGCGACGGTCCGCCGGGGCTCCGGCTCGCGCTGGGGCTGCTGCTGTTGCTGGCGCGGCCGCCGTCGGGCCGCGCGGGGGCCCCCGAGGCGCAGGAGGCCGCGGCACCTAGCACGGCAGCCCCGGCCGGCGGCGACCGCTGCCGCGGCTACTACGACGTGATGGGCCAGTGGGACCCGCCCTTCAACTGCAGCTCGGGCGCCTACAGCTTCTGCTGCGGCACGTGCGGCTACCGCTTTTGCTGCCACGACGGGCCACGGCGCCTCGATCAGAGCCGCTGTTCCAACTACGACACGCCGGCCTGGGTGCAGACCGGCCGGCCGCCCGCGCGGGCCCGCGACCCCGCCGTGCCGCGGGACCCGGGTCGCGAGCGCAGCCACACGGCCGTCTACGCGGTGTGCGGCGTCGCTGCGTTGCTGGTGCTGGCCGGCATCGGGGTGCGCCTGGGCCTGGAGAGGGCGCACAGTCCGCGCGCGCGGCGCACGGTGACCAGGTGAGCGCGCACCGGCCGGGTCCCGGCCAGGGATCCCCGCACATCCCGCTTGGATGGCCCTGACTGCCCGGTGGGCGCCCCCTCACTACCCTTCATCCTTCGTGCCCCTCTCGGAACTCTGGTCCTCTTAACAGCCCCCTCCTCCTGGTTCTTCCACCCTGTCTCTGTCTCCAGGTCTCTCCCCTACCCCCCACTTCACGGAGGGAGACAGCTGATACCGCCCTGTCTCCCCTTGACCTTCCGGTGGAGCTGGGTGCTGGGCCGCCCTCCCCCGCGGCTGCCGCCTCTTCCTGAGTGGGCGGACAGAGGGCACAATGTCAGCGCCCAGGGGAGGGGGTCTGGGCCCTGAGCCCCACCAGCGCGGTGGGGGGAGAGGGGCGTGTGATGATGTAGTGTTGAGTGTCTTGGGCCTGGAAGGAATGGAGGGTAGGGGGCATGTTCTGTAGCTCTCTCGGCTGTCTCCCTCCAAATTCTCCCTTCACTCCTCCTTCCACCTCCCTCCCTGCCCTCCCCGAGCTGTGACTCAGGCCCGACCTTTCCCTGGGGTTTCAGAAGCCCTCCCCAACTCACTCCACTCAATAATACCCCTAGAAAGGGGTGGGTGTGGGAGGCCTAGGCAGGTGTTTGCTGAATTCTGAGCTTTGTGTCAAGTGGGATGTCCAGGACCCAGGTTCCCTTCCTCTGGGTCAGGGTTCTGTGTCCTGACCCTGGAACACTCACCCGCACCCCCACACTCACATGCCTCCAGACACCCTCATGTCCTGGGTTTTTTTGCCTCTCCTCACTCACCCAGGTCCTGTCTCCCTTGGGCATGTAGGCTGCTGATACTGCATGTGACAGGCTGGTATTTAGAAGTGACAATAAGAGGAGTCCCCATGCCTGGGTGGGCCAGCTGTGCAGGCTTCCCCCCTCCTAGACCTCAGGGACAGAGGACAAGCACTTCCTTGGCACTGCACTGCGCACGGTGTCCCCAGACCATTTAGCTCGCCTCTCTCAGACAGCGGCAGGGCAGAGCCGGGGCTGGAACCCCGGCCTCGGTTTCTGCGCTGCCTTTGTGGGGTGGAGGCCGAGCCTGGGCCCTGCGTGCTGCAGGGGCAGGGCCTGGGCTCCCTGAGCTTGGACTCCCTCATGTTGGGTGCGGGGAGAGGATAGGGCATCTCCTGGACCAGAGTGGGGCAGCAGGAGCTCAGGGTCATGATGGTCTGGAGGGGGTGACGGGGCAGCCTGGCTGACGTTCCCCTTGAACCCACTTCGTCTGCACGGACTGGGAAGCAGGTCTGGTGAAGCTTCCAGAAGAGCCAGCCCACCCCTACCTAATGTGCTATGAGGCCGGGGTCAGTCCTTTCCCCTTTGAGCTTCAGGCTCCCATGTGTCCTGACTCCCTTTTCTCCTCTGGGGAGACGGGACACCCCATTGGAGTTCATCTGTGGGTGTGTTGGGAGCCTCTGTGCTCCTGCCCCGTCTCACCCTTGATTCTGCCACGTTGATACTGAGGGCCAGGAAAGGCTTCTCGGAGGGTTGAGAGGGGGGCTGGTGTCTGTCCCTAGAGTTTGTGCGAAGGCCCAAAGGTGTGAGGATTACTCAGGTGTTTGGGAGAGCCGACTGAGGGGTGTTTGCCCGGAGACGAGAACCAGCGGTGGGCAGCTGAGGAGTGGGCAACACATGAAGGTCAGTTCGGGCAGGCACTAGGAGGCTTTCGACCCCGCCACCCTGCAGCCAAACCGTGCCTGCCCAGCTGTCCCACCTCCAGAGTGATTCTTCATGAATCAGCCATTTGAGGCCCCGACCCCAAAGGAGGTCAGACCAAGCTAGGAGGAAATCATGGGCTGTGGGTGCCGAAGGCAGCTGGGCTGCAGGCTGGGTCTGCTGGGAAGGCTAAGTCAGATGCTGTCACAGCTGGATTGGGGCTGGGTGTCCTCGTACCCAGGGAGGCCACTGCCCAAGGTCACACAGCCTTTGATGCTGGGCTGCCACAGGAGCATCTCCTGGCTCTGTCTCCCTCATCTGTCTGTCTTCCATGCCTGTGCTGGCAGCTGCATACCAGGACCCAGCAGAAGACCCTGCTACTCGAAGGGGGCGGGGGGGGGGGTTAGGTAGACTTTTTTTTTTTTTTTTTAAATCTTCACCAGAGGATGTGTTCTTATAGATTGTAAAGAGAGAGGAGGAGAGAGGGGGGCAGAAACATTGATGTGAGAAATATTGATTGGCTGCCTCTCATACGTGCCCTTACCAGGGATCGAACCTGCAGCCTAGGTATGTGCCCTGACTGGGGATCAAACCTGCAACCTTTTCTGGTGTATGGGATGATGCTCTGACCAACGGAGCTACCCGGCCAGGACTAGGGAGGACTTCTTTAGGCTTCCTGAAGGAGGGAAGCTGGGGGTTTGAAGCATAGGTCGTTTATTGGAGGAGATGGAGGAAAGGATATTGTCAGCAGCAGCAGCTGCATGCGCAAGGTCGGGGAGACCGATGTGCTCACAGAACCGTGCTGGGAGAGGAGGCTCAACTTGAGGGCCTTGAACAGTGGATTCCAGGAAAGGGGGGCGGGGTTTGGAAAACAAGGCGGCCTTGGTTACAGGGCCCCGTTAAGTTTCCTGACCGGCTGCGGGAAGTGGCAAGGTTGGGGCTTGGTGGGGAAACCAGATGTGGAAGGTCAGAGGGGAGAAGAAGGGAGGCCCAGAGAGGTTGAAAGGGCTGCCCAGGGCCGCACGGTGCGGCAGTGGTGGCCGGGGCTGGCCTTTGACAGGGCAGGGCCTGGGCGATGGGGAAGCAGGAGCCTGGGAGGGCTGCTGCTCATCCCTCTTTCCTCACAGGACGCTGACAGAACTTCTGAAGCAGCCCGGCCCCCAGGAGCCACTTCCTCCACCTCTGGGTCCACCTCTGGGTCGCTGTGTCCAGGTGCAGATGGGTGATGGCCTTCCCCAGGACTCCCCCCACAACAGCACAGGTGAGGAGGCTGATGGGTAGCCATGTGCTGACCTACAGCACGGGGTCTCCCTTGTCTGACATGGGCCTGGGAGCAAGGGGAGCAGTGTGCTGAGGGGCAAGAGGCTCTGAGCAGACTGCTTCCCAAACGGAAGTGAGTGCCTGCCTCTGCAGGTGAGTCGGGGCTCGCCAGTCTGCTCCCTTGGTGGAGCGAAGCCCTTGGAGGGGTCCTGCAACCTCCAGCCTCAAGGATCGGAGTAAGGTTCCAGATAAAGGATCACCGGCTCAGGCTGTGGTTCCAGGCTCCAGCTCCGCAGCCTGAGGTCTGCCTGGTCAGGGTCTATGGCCTCCTGCAAGCCTTTCCCTCTAGGCTGGAGCCTCCTTCCTGGCCTCTTGTTGTAGAGGCAGGCTTGATTGCACAGCACCCCCCCCCCCCGCCCCCCTTGCACTTCACACTCTCTGATACGGGCTCTAATCCCCAGACATTCCCTCCATCTCCGGCAGGAGCAGGTCCTGGGACTCAGTGCCTGGCTCAAGCTGAATATGCTGGCGAGTCATCCCATTAGGTTAGCACCCACTTAGGACTGGCTGCTATTCATGTTGTTCTGAGCCAGGCCCTGTTCCGGACGCTGGATATTGTGCCATGAACACAGGTTCCACTTTCAGTCTCGCCCAAGTAGTCACCGAACTGAACTGCAGTTGGGGAGAGGGCAGCGAAGAGATGGCATTGTCTGTGCAGTGTCCTCCAGTCAGCCGTCTGAGCCTCATCTTCCTCCTTCCCCACTCTAGACAAGAAACGCCACAACAACGTGCCCCTGGGGTCAGCAACACTGGGACCCCTGCGTGGTCCTCGGCTGCAGGGAGGCGGCAGCGGGACGCTTCAGCCGGGTTACGCTAAGTATGCCACCTTCAAGGCAGCCGCGCTCAAGGCCTCAGGTGAGTGGCCGAGTCTGTGAGTCTGTGTGAGTAGCGCAGGGCCCACCAGTGTGGCAAAGACCCCCGCTTTGCTGGTGGGTGCTCCAGCCAGCTTCTACAGGGAACCTAAGCGGGGCTGGGACCCTTGCGGGATGCCGAGCCCAGGGCGCGGAAAGCCACGTCACAGACGGTCTATCCCCGCCCCGCCCCGAGGTGCTGAGGCCCCGCCCCCGACAAGCCCCGCTCTGTCCCTACAGAGGCCTCCCGGCAGGACTTTTATCAGCATTTTCCAGCGCCCGCACCTGCCCCACTGACCCTGCCGGCGCGGGCCCCGCGGCCCCCAGAGGACTTGCCCGCACTGCTTGACGCCTGCCCCTGGGCCCCACCCAGCTACGCGCCCCCCGCCGCCCCTGCCCCTACGGGCCACTGCAAGGCCTGGACCGCCAGCCGCCCGGCTCGGCCCATCCCCCGCGGCCACCTGGCGGCTCAGGCGTCTCCTGCTCCCCGGCGGTCCTGCCGCCCGCCCCGGCGCCAGTTCAGCGTGGAGAAGCTGCCCGAAGCCTTCGGCGCGCAGCCCCCTGGCCTTTACGGCTGCACAGGCCGTGTACCCCGGCACCTGAGCACCAACAGCAAAGCTGAGGTCACCGTATGAAGATGGGGCTCTTGGTTCTTTCGAGGCAACTCATCTACCAGGGGTCCGCCATCGTCCTGGTCCAAAATCCCAGGCTGCGAGGGGGAGGGGCGCCATCAGCATATCCAGCCGGTCCGCCTGCCCAAACTGGACAGCAGCCCTTACAGCCTGCAGGACTAAGATGGGGCCCGTCCTGGGGGCCGCAGGGCCCAGGTTCCTCGTGTAAACAAACCCTATTCTGTGGCTCCCATCCCTGAGAATAAAGGAGCCCCAGCTTGGCTCTGAGGGGCTGATGGCGGAGGCATTGGTCATTGACTGGACAGCCGGCAGTGCAGGCAGAGGGCACAGCATGTGCAAGAGCAGAGGACTGTTTCTGAGAGCTATCAGGTGTGTTCTAGGAGCTGGAGAGAAGTGGCTGAAGAGGGCGGTCAAGGCTGACTGTCAGGCTTAATGTCCACACCGGCGGACCCATGGGAGAGGGGCAGTTAGGCCCTAGACATTTTGGGGCTTGGGCACAAGTGAGAGGGTGGAGGTTCCACCCCCCTTGCTGGAGGTGAGCACCCCTTCCAGAGGGTCACCCCACTCTACAGCCTTGAGTTGGCTGAGCCACGCTGATCCTCACTGACATAGTTTGGCGCTGGGCCGGCCCCTGGCCTGCAGGCCACTTGGTCAGCTTGGCCCAGGGCCACCCCCCTAATGGGTATGGGCAGTGGGCCCGGAGGACAGCTGGTGCTCAGGATGGCGGAGCCTCCTCCCAGGAGCTGCTGTGGAGGGAAAGGGGATTGGCGATGCCGAATCCAGAGCCTTGGCAGTACCCCTGCATGGGTGCTCACACCACACATGCATGGCACCGCCAGCTCTCCCCCCTCCTGCCAGGCTTCGGGTACCTGGCCACAGACCAGGGCAGTGCCAGCAGCTTGGGTGCATCAACTTTCTGTGATAGGTATTGCTGGGGAGGTTGAGGCCTGGGCTGTGACTCATTGTATGACCTCAACAAAGCCACCCAGTTGGGCCTTTTCCCTGTGTACCCTAGGCATGGTATACTGTTTTAGTAACAATGGCCACCATTTGTTGCTGCTGCTTTCACTTAATCCTCACAGAAGCCCCATGGGAATGACACTTCACAGTTGAGGAAAATTGTGGTTTTAAGACTTAGGTAACTTGCCAAGATTACCCAGCGGACTCCAGTTTAGGACTCTTCCACGTTCTGTTGCCACTGTGACCCTGTGGCATGGCAGGCAGTGGGCTGCTGGGGCAGGGCGGGGGGAGGAGTTACGGGCACGCGTGTTGGTAGGGAGCAGCTCCTGCTTCCAGGGTACAGGCAGTCTCAAATTTCTCCACTGGCTGGGCTGCTCTGAGGCCCCCAATCCCACCAGCTCTTCACCTCCCTGTTTCTAAGGGCTGTTGAAACCAAGGTCCAGAAGCCCCAGGACAGCAGAACCCAGAGCCTGCAGCGAGAGCCCCAGTGGTGTTGGGAAGGGCCTCATACACGCAGTCCAAGGTGGGGGTGGGGTGCCCCAGGGCCTATCTGCAGCTGTGTAGAGCCAGGGAAGGTGGGCTGGGTACTGAGTCCTGAAGCCAGCCCAGACTCACAAAAAAGGATCAGGTTCCTGGGCAGACTGGCCACCCACGATCACCCACCCTGGTCACTCAGGCCATGGCTAGGCTGTGCCGGGGGGGGGGGGGGGGTGGGCTCTACCTCTGCTCTTTCAAAGTCCCGAGGGCCCCAGATCCCCATCCCACAGGGCTAGGTTTGGGCCGCAGGCATGACCACCAATAGAAATGCTGCCTTCATAACTGGAGAGGGACCAGCTACCACTGGGCCTCTCCTCTCCTGGCTGCTCTTGCCCTTGGGACAGTGTGGCTTGCTGTGACTGCCCTTCAGAGAAGGCAGTGGCTGAGCAAGTCGAAGGGACTGGGCCCACTTCTCAGCCAGGCCGGCATACCGTGAACTTCACCCGGGCTCCGTCTCCACTCGGCCCAAAGCTCACCCATCCCCACGGCTCCCTGGGGTCTGTCTGGCCCTCACCAGCCTCGCGAGGCACTTAATGTCAACTGACACATTCAAATCAGCCAACGAACCGGAGGAGACTGTAGCCAAAGGCAGGGATTCTCATCCCCATTCTGCACACGCGGAAGTAGAGGCGGAGTGGACGTTCCGCCTAGGGAGACCTAGCTGGGGGTTTATAGGAGCAGGCCTTGGATGTGACTCGTGGGCCAGTGAGGCTCCTCAGGCACAATGTCTCTAGGGAGGATGGGGAAACTGAGGGGCAGCCTACCCCATAAAGGGGAGAAGTATCTCGGGGGGAGGGGCGCAAGGAGACCTTACCACCCCAGATCCCAAAGAACTGCTGCTGTCAGCCAAACAGCCAGCTCTTTGTCCTGGTTGTGTGACCACCGACCCCAGCAGTACCTCCCCCTTCCCCCCAGGCCCTGTCCCAACCCTGGAGTGCATGCCAGGCAGCCGGTACCAGGGGAAAGGGGCCGGCCTCAGTCCCTGGCCTGCTGGAGGCCAAGCCATGCAGCCACACGGCTAGTCACCCCAGTGGTCGTACTACAGACCGTCTCACACCTCATGCAGGGTGGTACCAATCTGTGTTTATTGAATAACCTCCATCCAGGACATGGTGAATGACTGATTCCACATCGAGGCTGCCATAAGTATATCCCCCCTTTCAGTGAAAAACCACCCCCTCCCACCCCTAAACAATAATGAGAAAAGGCACAGTATCTACACGACACAAGGATTGGCTCACCCTGTGGCCAGGGGCCATAAATTACAGTGGGGGGCAGGGGCGGGAGGCAAGGGAAAGAAAGAGGGCGAGGTCCCAGCTGCCCCGTTCTGACCTGCACCGGCATCGGGGGGTCCCTGCTGTGTGCGTGCCCCAGGTGGTGAAAGCGGAGGGAAGGAGGGCAGCCCCTCTCGGCCTCCCAGCAGGCTCTGGGGTGCCAAGCAGTCCCTCAGGCTCCGGAGAAACAGCCTCAGAGAAGGCACCAGGCCAGGAAATCCAGGAAAGTGCGAGTACTTTTCCTCTCAGGACCTCCATCAAGGCAGGGGCCCCTATTCCTCGTGCCCACCCCAGAAAGGGGCTTGTCACTGGGGACTGGTGCCTACCACCCTGGCTTACTTTCAGATCAAGGATTAGGGATCAAAAGAGACCGTGGAGGTAGGAGTTGGGCGGGAGGGAATAGAGAACCCACACAGAAGGACATGGTCCCTAGTCCTAATGGGTGGCTTCATCTCTCCCAGTCCCTGGGCTCACCCTGAGCTTGGGCTGACATCCCAGGGGTTGGGGGAGTGGGAAGGAACAGAACAATTAAATAAGATACCATTTATTTTTTAAAAAATTAAAAAATAATGCCGACAGTATTTCATCCATCCCCAGGCTTGCCCCGTCTCACCACCGCCTCCCCAGGGCCAGCCCCTCCTTCCCGGGCTGTCTCGTGTGATAAAGAGAAAACAATGAACTGGCTCTGTCAGGCACAGGGGAGGGGACGCAGGCCCAGGGAGAGAAATAAAAATGCCACAGCAACTTAGTCCTGCATCACGGCAAACCCAAGCACACTGATATAAAAACATTTGTATAAAAAAGGGGAGAGGGCATGCTGGGCACAGTGCCAAGGGTGAAGTGCTCTGGTGCCCAGAAACTCACGTCCCCAGAGGGACAGCCTGATAAAAAACAAGGAAGCAGGAAAGGGGAAGAGATATACAGAGAAAGAATCTTGGGAGGGCTGGAGATGTGGGCTAGGCAGCCTGGGAGCACCCCCTGCTACTCCCAGGTCAGGGTACCCCCCGTCCCTGCCCCGCTCTGTCTTCCCTCTCTCAGGCCCACTGGGCCCGGGACCACTGGCATCTACCCACAGCCCAGGGGCCCACTGGTCTCAGGTGGTCTAAAAGCCTTGACGGGCGATACCACAGAAGCTAAGGCTCATTCCCAGCTCTGGAGGGAGGAGGGAGAGAGAGACTGAGAGACAGAGAGAGAGAAGGGAGGGACTCAGAGATGAAAGGAAGGGGGTGGGGGCAGTGAGCCGAGGCAGGCAGGGCCCCGTGGTCAGGAGGCGGCGATGGCGGTGCCGCCCCCCAGCTTGACAATCATCTGCTGGCAGTCGCTGCAGGAGCGCCGGTCCCCCACCTTCTCCAGGGTGCGGGCTGCCTCAGCCAGCAGCACCGCCCGCTGGCCCGGGGAGGAGAGGAAGGAGAGGGGCAGGTGCCGGCAGGCCAGCAGGATGGCCGTGGCCCGCTCTCGCTGGCCGGGCCAGGCGTCCACCTCTCCTGTGGGAATGAGGAGGCAGGGGTAGGAACCGCTTGCTGAGGGCTGTCTAGGACACAGGTCCTACTCCTGGGACTCGGTTATTCAGTCCTCACGCCCGCCCAGGGAGGTGAGTCCCAGTGCCTTCCCTAGTTCACAGACAGGCAAGGTGAACTTGGCTGGCATCATATGGCGGCACTGAGAAGTCGCCCGTGCTCCCAGGCCAGTTCCTGCACTGGGACATCCCCTGCCCTTCTCTCCCCACACGGAGGCTGGACCCAAAACAACCCGGCCCCCATAGACCTCCATGGCCCCCCCAGGCAACACACCGAGTCAAGCCACGGGCCCCTCTCACTCTCGCAGTGCCTGAGAACACGGCCGCAACGGTGCTGGGCCGGGCGCCTCCTCTGCTCAGGCAGGGCCTGCACCAGGCCTTCGGGCGGGGTGAGGCGGGGCTCGTGGACTCACCATGCTTGGTGTTCTGAGCTGTGCGCCGCCGCAGGCTGTGCTCCAGCAGCTGGTGGGTGCGGGTGGGGCTGGCTCCTGCCATCAGGCGCACGGTGGCTTCATGCAGGAACACCTGAGGTGGCACAGGGCGACAGTCAAGCCCCGGGCCTGCTCCAGTCTGTGCCCCAGTATGTACAGGTGCAATTCCCTGCAGCATTTCGTCCGCCACCGGATGACACCCCTCTTCTCCACACTGTCTTGCCCTGCTCACCCCACCAGAAACCTGGAGGAGTGGCAGGAAGAAGGAACACAGCACAGGCCAGCTGGCGGGGGCGACAGTGGGACAAAGGAGAAAGAGGCAAAGGGCTGCCACTGACAGAGACAGCGCCGCCACGCCTTCAGGGCTTGGAAGACAAGTAACTGGGGTGAAGCCTCCAGTTCTTGGAGGCTGCTTCCAGGTTGAAAACAGGACAGAATGAGAGGCGGGGAAACAGGAACAGTATGTGGGGACACCTAGGCAGGTGCCAGCGAAGTCCAGAGTCCTGTTTCCTTCTGTTTCTTTAGAAAGAAATAGAGCCCAGAA